ACAGCCCCACAACGTGTCTATGGTTAAAGCAGGCAGAAGAGCACGAAGCAAGACCTTATATTTCACTCGACACCCGAAGAGGTAAAAGAGGACGTAAAGAAGAAGTGCAAAGTGCAGTGCGTCATTACTGGAAGGTACCCCAGGTATGTCCCAAAAATCCCATTTAACCGTAAGGCAGACATATAAGACCAGACTCACATTTTTAGAGACTTCCATAGGTAATGTGGTGAACATTACGCAAACTGCCTTTACTTCTCAGGACTTTACCTGGTATCCATTTAACACTAGGTCGACCTGGGAGCGAAAGTCATGTTTGAAAACATCCGGCGCCCTTTGGATTTGAACCCACGACCTTCAGATCCGCAATCGAGCTTCTAGCCGTTACACCACAGTTGCTCCCAACAAATAAATCTACAAATAAATAGCTAAATAAATAATTACACCCTTCAAGTTACCTTGCACTGTGACCCTATGTCACCTTACACCTTTAAAAGCAGCCTAGGAGATCACATACACCTGCCCATTGTAGGCCTATTATTATTGCAAGCAATTCAAATTAGCAGTGCGACGTCTTTGAAGATCTATTGCTACTAGCACGTAGCCGGCCACATCACGTCATTGTCTAAAACTGTGCACACACAAAAACCAGTATCTTATCAAACTTCCCATTTCTTTTATTAACTTCCTGCACAAATTATTTAATATATCGTTAGGATTCCGGTTTGTTTTTTCCTTGTCAAAACCTCTTGAATTCTACAGCAATTTACTAATTATTTGCAGGCGTAGCCTTAATTGACCTATCCTTGGCTGTCGCGTCAGTTCTTTCTTTGTTACATACTTCACTGTCTCAACAAGTTCGCGCTAATTTGTTATCATTGATCTTCTGGCCAATTTAAGTTAACCAGTCACTGGGTGGCGTCGTGCATGCATCTAGATAATAACAATACAAGTGTTATGGAAAAAATATTGTAAATTATTTATTTTAGCACTAGGACAATATCATCATCATCAAATGCCTTGCCAACTGGCGTGGGCGATCATGCCTCTCTACAATCTGTGATCGGCAACTATATGCATCAATTCGTGTGTTGACACCCCTCCACGCCATGACTAAAGACTGTTTTCCCCTGCCTCTCTTTCCACAAACCTTCCCAATGGTTACAACACTTTCCATTTGTCCTTTTCTCGAGACATGACTACAAAAATTATGACTGTCACTTTCTGATGTTTGTGACAAGTTGTCTTCGAGTATCTGACTCTTTCAACCATTTTGGTTATTCTTCTTAGCTTTCAAATGAATTCTAAGGATTCTTGGGTAAAACCAAATCTCCAAGACCTTGAGATAATGTTCGGCTTGTTCATTATTTATCCAGGATTCACAGCCGTATGTTAAATCCGGCTTTAAATAGGTTGCGATAATTCTTTTTCTAACCTCCAATGACATGGGTTTATTGCACAAACAGTTATTTTTTTTAAAAAGCAGTTTTTACCTGTCATATTCTGTTCTTTATCTCTGTGATGCATCTTCCATAATCATCATCATAACCCACTTCTGCCGTTAAGCGGCGTGGGGAGGAATAATTTGCGATCCAGTGCACATTGGCTGCCACGGGCTATTGTCATGCCGTTAAGGCGTAGAGTGATTTTTAATGTTGTCGATCCATGTTTTCCGCGCCCGTCCTCTTACTCTTGTAGCTGATCTTCTGAGATGTAGTGCTTGTGATGGTATTTGATCTTGCAGCATTCTAACAAGATGGCCAAACCACTTATTCTGCTGTTTCTCGATGAATCTAGTACAAGGTGTCGTTCCCACAATTTACCTGATAGTTTCATTATTCACTCGATCTCGGATGGTTAGGTTGGCTGCTTTTCTCAGGCACCTCATCTCGCAGGTGGTGATTTTGGGTATATGGGTTTTAGATAGTGTCCATGTTTGGCACTGGTAGCTTAATGTTGGAATGAATATGCTATTAATAATCTGTCTCTTTGCACTCATAGTTATGCTTGGATGTCTTAATAATGGTCACAATTGGTATGTAAGTGTACTTGCTTTCTGGCATCTGGTTTCTATTTCTCTGTCAATTCTACCATCTTCTGCGATGATACTTTTTAGATATTAAAACTCCCTAACTTGATTCAGAGCAGAACCATTCAGCTGTATGTGTAGTAGGGCAGGGGTTCTACCAAATTGCATTGTTTCGGTTTTGTTTACATTGGATGCATCTTCCATCGGATGTTATCCACATGCCTAGATGCTTAAATGTTTGTATTTGACCTAAAATGACGCCTTCGACAAGGATAATTTATAAATAACAAATACCAACATGGCGCCCCTTGAAGTATGTTTTATTGCTATTTAAAAAAAATGTGTGGTGGTTTTGACAATAGTATACGTGGCGTAAAGGTCAGACGCATTGCCTGTTTAAACAAGTGGAAAGTTCTATTTGTTTTGTCCACTCCTGGACTTTGGTCTTGATTTAGAACTTCAGTTTTGAGTCCACATCGGTTTTACCGATCTTGCTAATTTGTATTTAGACTGTTGGTTCCTTGCCTCTCACGCTGATGGATTCCAACTTCAAGAAAACACTCTTAATAAATCGGCATCTTCGACATGCTTATTGCGGAGGAAGTGGACCTGTTCTTTGTCCTCAAAAATGGGCTTTTTTAAGAAAAAGTTGGTCTCCGTTAGGACCCGAACCCACGACCTAACGATCCACAGGCGAGTGTCTAGTTTACAGTTTAGATAGTTTACATAACACCTTCTCTAGGGGAGACAGACTGTTTCGGATTACAGTTATTTAATATCCAGACTGTCACAGGTAAAGAAATCCAAAGAGGAATCATGGAAAAAGTATGGTGAACACCTAACACAGCTATGTACAGAATCACCAAGAGACTTTTATAAGAGTGTGAAAGCGATGCGATTAAGAGAAGAAAGCTTCAATCCAACATCAGTCATAAACGATAAAAATGGAAAACCATTATTCAGCCAAAAAGAAATTAAAAAAAGATGGGAGGAATATTTTAAAGAACTTTTGAACCCGTCGGGAGTACATGATACAGCAGAATTCCATTCAAGGGCTCCAGATCATCTAGAACCACATATCCTGCGGGATGAAGTAGAGAAAGTTATCAAAACAAGTAAAAGACACAAAGCAGCTGGTATTGACGGAATAACAACAGAAGTCATCCAGGCTGGAGGGGACACTATGATCACCTGGCTGGAGAGAATTTTCAATAGAGCATGGGCAGAGAGAAAGGTACCAGTGGATTGGCAAAGATCAGTTGTAGTACCTATCTGGAAGAAAAAAGGAAACAAGAGAGAATGTGGAACTTATAGAGGAATATCTTTACTAAGTCATGTGGGGAAAATATATGCAAAGATCTTAGATGGTAGGATAAGAGCAAAGGTTGAACCTCTACTGAGTAAAGCACAATTCGGTTTCAGGAAAGGGCGAGGTTGCACTGATGCCATATTTGCACTAAGACAAGTCTGTGAAAAGACACTCGAATACGATAAAGAGCTGAACGTGGTCTTTGTAGATCAAGAGAAGGCATTCGACCGTGTAGACAGAGATGTGCTGTGGAGAATTCTTGACGATTACGGAGTGCAGGGTCAATTATTAGACAACATCAGAGCCCTCTATGAAAAAAGTGAAAGTGCAGTAAGAACATCTAGTGGTCTTTCTGAATGGTTCAAAGTCACAACTGGTGTCAGACAAGGATGTGTACTGTCACCATTACTTTTCATAACATACATGGATAAGATCACTGTAGAAGCAAACCCAGACGTGTATGCTATAAACGAATTACTTTTTGCTGATGATCAAAGCATACTGTATCAAAATGAATATGATCTACAGGAACATCTGACTACTCTCAACAACAGCTGTTTACAACATAATATGAGAATCAGTACAGAAAAAACAGAAGTTATGAAGATCAGCAGAACACACAGGCCACTGAATATAAATGTTGGAAGTGCCAAAATCAAGCAAACCAAAGAGTTCAAATACTTGGGCAGTATATTTACAGAGGATGGAAGAATGGACAGAGAGATAGAAACAAGAATACAGAAAGCAAATGCTGTCACATACCAACTATCACCTCTGCTTAAACATCCAGATATAACCATGAAGACCAAAAGACAATTGATAAACACCATCTTCATTCCAACACTCTGCTACCAGTGCCAAACATGGACAATCAACAAGACCCATGAAAGAAAAATAGAAGCCTGTGAAATGAAATGTCTAAGAAAAGCAGCGAATAAGACCAGACTAGACAGGATAAAGAATATAGACATTAGAAACACTGTCAAAACTACGCCATGTTTAGACTACATAGAACATCAAAGAATGAAATGGTTTGGACATCTAACCAGGATGAAAAATGATCAAATAACATCACAAATTTTCAACCAAAGAAGCTCAGGATATAAGGCAAGAGGAAGACCAAGGAAACGGTGGATTGACGGGGTCTCCGAAACCTGCCAAAAGCATGGCCTCAGAACATCAGATGCTGCCCGCCTTGCTTATGACAGGAACTTGCATCTCCCCACAACGCTTAGCGGCATACGTGGAAGGAAAAAGTAAAAGTGAAGTAAAGTACTGTCACAGGAAACGTTCTTCAATACGTAACCGTCGTGATAGACATATATTGTTTGTTTCCGCTGTGGATTTGCTAGTTTCAGTTCCAATCCCACCAAGAAAGTAGCTACCTCAGATCTTGTATACAAGACAAAGTCATGACAACTTTGAAGGTAATTTGGTTTAAATGGCTATACTGTATAGTTTAGTATAGGTAGATGTAGAAACTGCAGAGTTGTGTGGTACACCTTGTACATAAAGATATCATAAGCTAGCGAAAACTTCGGAAAACGCTTCGTTCTTAGTTACCTTCATTTTCTTAATGTGCTGTGTCTCACTCAACTCACTGTCTTATGTGAATGTTTAGTTGGATTTATTTTATTTTGGTAAGAAAATGAAATGACAAGTTTAGTAGTTTAGTTTTTTAAATGTATTTAAAATATTTTAATGTTAGGTTAGGTTAAGGTTAATGCTGAAACTCGTCGTCCTCGCCCATCATGTCATAAAGGACTGTACACCTGCTGAAATGGGTGCCCTAATTATAAAATTATTAAAATATTAATTCTAATTTCTCTGTAGGTTAAATGGGTATGTGTAGGGACGCTAGAAAAGTTTTAATAGTTTTATGTTTTGGGTTTTTACTTATGAAACCATCACATCTAAATAGAGATTAAAATACAAATCAATTGATTGATACCTCAATGAAGCCTGTCAGTCAATTCTAAGCAAATATATGCACATTATAGTGGTGGAAACCACCGTAGACAAATACTTCAAATAGTCAAATTTGGGCTTTTCTTTGAACTTCGACTTCGCCTCCATATTATGGCGGCCAAACAAATGAAAATCACACCAATCGCAAAATTTCATAAGAGATTCGGACCCATCCCGAAACCCCAGCCGACATTTGCAAAGCAAGTTTCGAACGGTTTCCATGGTATCGCAAATTGCCAAAAGACCGCAAATTGCCGAACACCGTAGTTGCTACCTCAGTCATGTGTAAAATGCGGAGTGCCTTGCGAGAAACAAATCGCTGCAAAACTAGGATTTCCTCAGAATAACGGGCCAATATTATCGAGGACAAACAAGGGCAGCGATATGTTAATTGCGGACCTGTTTCTGTGACTATGCCGCGCTGCCTACAGTATTCCTGTGGTGCGGATTGGGGGGGGGGCTAACCTAGGTTGCTGGGACTCACGAGCAAATAGATTGGAGGAAGTTGCAGGAGATGCGGTAGCTGCTGCTCGTTAGTCCCAGCCATCTAGCTAGTTTATCCCCCACGCTTAGCGGCACGGGGGATACGCTTGGCGGTGAGTTTAATCGGAAGAACACTACCGCTAATCTGTGTTGAAGCGCATGGTCTCACCACCATGTCGCTATTATCGTGTGTATTGTTGCGTTTCTCGAAAATGTCAACGAACAGTAATCCTAGTTTTGACGCGATGTGTTCGTCGGAGGAAGTCCGCATTTTACACATGACTGAGGTCCTATTAGGGTATTTGTTCGGCCGCCATAATATGGGGGCAGAGTTTGAAGGAAAGCCAAAATGTGTACTTCCTGCAAATAAATTAATAGCCTGTGAGGATTTATTAATTATAAAGTAGATAGATGGCTTCTGATTTTGAAGACCATGTCTTAAGTGAGGTGTGCCTGTTCCTCATCTTAAATGTTTTCTACAAGTCTTTATTTTTAACCCCCTCTGCATTCCAGTGCACTCTTCTTCTTCTTCCACTTTGGGTTCACTGGCTGTAACCTCCGGTGGAAAGTTCTGGTTGTTAATCTACCTCTGGACTTTGGTCTTGTTCCAGAGCTGAGTGTTGCACGTACATCCGTTTCACACATCTGGCTTATTTGTATGCAGACTGTTGGTTTCTTGCCTGGCAGGCAAATGCACTCTGACTTCGAAGGAGTTCCCAATTAGCCGACTCTTACGACATGCTTGTTGGGGAGGCAGTGGGTCTATCCTTGTTTTCCCTATAATGGGACCCCGGAACCCACACATGGAAATTGCAGTGCAGTTATTTGACTCCTCTCTTAGTTCAGCAAGATGCTCTATAGTCTATCCTCATGTCCCCTGGCTCCACAGGACATCTGAGAAGGACCTCCAGTAATTTGGTTTGGGTTTCGAGATAGAAGACCAGGCACTGCTCCTGCCTGAGAGTCCATCACAGGGCGAGAACCATAACATTTTGCTAATTTAGACATATTTCTGGTGTGTGTTTGTGACATCCTAATTGCTCGGTGCGCCTCCTGGCTGGTTTCCTACAACTTCAGCCCCTTGTTTTGCTGGCGCAGACTGTGATCATATTCGAGGAGCCATCTGGTTTTTACGACGCTAGACAGTCACCTTCGCCCCTTCTCCTGCTGGTTTAATCATTTCCACCACAAGAAGACCAGGAGTTGGACTTGTGCTGTCAGAGGTGATGAATGCAGATGCCTTAGGGGTATTTAATCAGTTGAGAGCTCAACCTCAGTCCCTGACCTCCCACCTGTGACAGCAGTTTGAAACCCAATAAAGTACTTTTGGATTTCATTTTCCAAGTGGAATCCAACTATGCTAGTTGCATTATTTAAAAATAATTTAGAAAATTTGATTAAAGTAAGTACCTGGCATATACATAAGAATCAGTCATAAAAAAGACCAAATTTTTTTTTCAACTCCCAAGGAATGCACCACACGTTGGTTACTCCACTGCCATTCATTCTGTGCGTGATGCCTTCATGTTTTTAATTGATCACTGGTCAGTAAAACAAAACACACTGGCAGTTTTTAATGGTATTTCTCATTCTTTGTGTTCAAGGTCCCAAGTGGTGACCATTTGGGATGTTTGAAAGCATACATTTAGCATGTTTGTGAGCTTTACCGAGTTACTAAGTATCTGTGTGAAAACAATGTGGCCTCCGAGATCTTGGGTCGGGTCCTGGTAGAGAAGTTTTTTTTTAAATTTAAAAAAATGACCTTGGCTCCCAGGTTGACCCAACCTTGAGTGGGTACCAGGTACAGTCCTGGAAGTAAAGGTGGCCGGCGTGATGTTGACCACATCACCCACTGAGTGCCGATTGGTCTATAAAATATAGTTCTAGTCCTCTATGCTCAATTCACCTGAAGGCGTGGAAAAGGGTCCTTCACTTTTACTTTAATGAATTATTAATAGGCCTATAGCATGTTTTCTATAATGAGTTAGCTTAGTTCGCTAGTTACTTTTATTCACAGCCAGGTCCACAAGCAGCAGCAAGCTCGTCAGGGGTTCAGCAAGATGAATTCATTGTCAGAATTCCAAGGTAAATAGATTTTTTTTTCTATTCCATTTCCCCTGGTGGGTTCTAGAACCTAGGGGGGGGGGGGGGGGTGTTGATTTGACTCTCTGCTCTCCTAGCGAGACTTTTGTAAAATGTGAGTGATTATGGGTTTGTTGAAATCAGGTGTTTTGGGCAGCAAGGTGCCGATATTGCACCCTAGCTATAAACCACAACACAGTATGCCAGTCACCCTTTTAAGTGTGAACACTTAAGAAGAAGAAGAAGGACTTGAATCACCAGACTTTTAAGAAAGTTTATGGAAAGATATAAAACCGAGTGAAAAATAGATCAGCGAGCTTCACAGTATAACAAACACAAACAAAACGTTAATGTTGCAGCTATAGAGCCTTCATCAGCACATAAACAAAACCCCACGAATACATTAATCATTTAACTAATGTATCCGGATGCAGCCATGTTGGTAAAAAAAAGTTCAAACAGTCTTTCATACAATGATAACACTATAACATCCTTTCACTCACTGAAGGTGACATTGTTTCCTGGTGCGTCTTGTTTTGTGTGTGTGTGAGTAGGGGGTATATTTCTCTAGCCTCAGAGATTCTTGTTCCTAAACAATAAAACTAAAACTGTGCTGCTGTGTCTGCTTCAGTAAACTAATTGTATTGCCACTAGTCTCCCTAGCCTTCACTAACAAATGTCTGTTCAAATGTTAGATTTTCTTTTGTTATGTATGCCACAGTATCAGTAAATAAAATTAGTAAACGATGTTTTTTATGCCTTTGGCACATTGGGATTACAGTGCTGGACCTATATTTGTATAGACCAAAAGCACAGTGGGATTACAGTGCTGGACCTATATTTGTATAGACCAAAAGCACAGTGGGATTACAGTGCTGGACCTATATTTGAATAGACCAAAAGCACAGTGGGATTACAGTGCTGGACCTATATTTGTATAGACAAATAGCACAGTGGGATTACAGTGCTGGACCTATATTTGTATAGACCAATAGCACAGTGGGATTACAGTGCTGGACCTATATTTGTATAGACCAAAAGCACAGTGGGATTACAGTGCTGGACCTATATTTGTATAGACCAATAGCACAGTGGGATTACAGTGCTGGACCTATATTTGTATAGACCAATAGCACAGTGGGATTACAGTGCTAGACCTATATTTGTATAGACCAAAAGCACAATGGGATTACAGTGCTGGACCTATATTTGTATAGACCAAAAGCACAATGGGATTACAGTGCTGGACCTATATTTGTATAGACCAATAGCACAGTGGGATTACAGGGCTGGACCTATATTTGTATAGACCAATAGCACAGTGGGATTACAGTGCTGGACCTATATTTGTATAGACCAATAGCACAGTGGGATTACAGTGCTGGACCTATATTTGTATAGACCAAAAGCACAGTGGGATTACAGTGCTAGACCTATATTTGTATAGACCAATAGCACAGTGGGATTACAGTGCTGGACCTATATTTGTATAGATCAAAAGCACAGTGGGATTACAGTGCTGGACCTATATTTGTATAGACCAATAGCACAGTGGGATTACAGTGCTAGACCTATATTTGTATAGACCAATAGCACAGTGGGATTACAGTGCTGGACCTATATTTGTATAGACCAAAAGCACAATGGGATTACAGTGCTGGACCTATATTTGTATAGACCAAAAGCACAATGGGATTACAGTGCTGGACCTATATTTGTATAGACCAAAAGCACAATGGGATTACAGTGCTGGACCTATATTTGTATAGACCAATAGCACAGTGGGATTACAGTGCTGGACCTATATTTGTATAGACCAAAAGCACAGTGGGATTACAGTGCTGGACCTATATTTGTATAGACCAAAAGCACAGTGGGATTACAGTGCTGGACCTATATTTGTATAGACCAATAGCACAGTGGGATTACAGTGCTGGACCTATATTTGTATAGACCAATAGCACAGTGGGATTACAGTGCTAGACCTATATTTGTATAGACCAAAAGCACAGTGGGATTACAGTGCTGGACCTATATTTGTATAGACCAATAGCACAGTGGGATTTCAGTGCTGGACCTATATTTGTATAGACCAAAAGCACAATGGGATTACAGTGCTGGACCTATATTTGTATAGACCAATAGCACAGTGGGATTACAGTGCTGGACCTATATTTGTATAGACCAAAAGCACAGTGGGATTACGGTGCTGGACCTATATTTGTATAGACCAATAGCACAGTGGGATTACAGTGCTGGACCTATATTTGTATAGACCAATAGCACAGTGGGATTACAGTGCTGGGCCTATATTTGTATAGACCAATAGCACAGTGGGATTACAGTGCTGGACCTATATTTGTATAGACCAAAAGCACAGTGGGATTACAGTGCTGGACCTATATTTGTATAGACCAATAGCACAGTGGGATTACAGTGCTGGACCTATATTTGTATAGACCAATAGCACAGTGGGATTACAGTGCTATACCTATATTTGTATAGACCAAAAGCACAGTGGGATTACAGTGCTGGACCTATATTTGTATAGACCAATAGCACAGTGGGATTACAGTGCTGGACCTATATTTGTATAGACCAATAGCACAGTGGGATTACAGTGCTGGACCTATATTTGTATAGACCAATAGCACAGTGGGATTACAGTGCTGGACCTATATTTGTATAGACCAAAAGCACAGTGGGATTACAGTGCTGGACCTATATTTGTATAGACCAAAAGCACAGTGGGATTACAGTGCTGGACCCATATTTGAATAGACCAATAGCACAGTGGGATTACAATGCTGGACCTATATTTGTATAGACCAATAGCACAGTGGGATTACAGTGCTAGACCTATATTTGTATAGACCACAAGCACAGTGGGATTACAGTGCTGGACCTATATTTGTATAGACCAATAGCACAGTGGGATTACAATTTTGGACCTATATTTGTATAGACCAATAGCACAGTGGGATTACAGTGCTAGACCTATATTTGTATAGACCACAAGCACAGTGGGATTACAGTGCTAGACCTATATTTGTATAGACCACAAGCACAGTGGGATTACAGTGCTAGACCTATATTTGTATAGACCAAAAGCACAGTGGGATTACAGTGCTGGACCTATATTTGTATAGACCAAAAGCACAGTGGGATTTCAGTGCTGGACCTATATTTGTATAGACCAAAAGCACAGTGGGATTACAGTGCTGGACCTATATTTGTATAGACCAATAACACAGTGGGATTACAGTGCTAGACCTATATTTGTATAGACCACAAGCACAGTGGGATTACAGTGCTAGACCTATATTTGTATAGACCAATAGCACAGTGGGATTACAGTGCTGGACCTATATTTGTATAGACCAATAACACAGTGTGATTACAGTGCTGGACCTATATTTGTATAGACCAAAAGCACAGTGGGATTACAGTGCTAGACCTATATTTGTATAGACCAAAAGCACAGTGGGATTACAGTGCTAGACCTATATTTGTATAGACCAATAACACAGTGGGATTACAGTGCTAGACCTATATTTGTATAGACCAATAACACAGTGGGATTACAGTGCTGGACCTATATTTGTATAGACCAATAGCACAGTGGGATTACAGTGCTGGACCTATTTTTGTATAGACCAATAGCACAGTGGTATTACAGTGCTGGACCTATATTTGTATAGACCAAAAGCACAGTGGGATTACAGTGCTATACCTATATTTGTATAGACCAAAAGCACAGTGGGATTACAGTGCTGGACCTATATTTGTATAGACCAATAGCACAGTGGGATTACAGTGCTGGACCTATATTTGTATAGACCAATAGCACAGTGGGATTACAGTGCTGGACCTATATTTGTATAGACCAATAGCACAGTGGGATTACAGTGCTGGACCTATATTTGTATAGACCAATAGCACAGTGGGATTACAGTGCTGGACCTATATTTGTATAGACCAAAAGCACAGTGGGATTACAGTGCTGGGCCTATATTTGTATAGACCAATAGCACAGTGGGATTTCAGTGCTGGACCTATATTTGTATAGACCAAAAGCACAGTGGGATTACAGTGCTGGACCTATATTTGTATAGACCAATAGCACAGTGGGATTACAGTGCTGGACCTATATTTGTATAGACCAAAAGCACAGTGGGATTACAGTGCTGGACCTATATTTGTATAGACCAATAGCACAGTGGGATTACAGTGCTGGACCTATATTTGTATAGACCAATAGCACAGTGGGATTACAGTGCTGGACCTATATTTGTATAGACCAAAAGCACAGTGGGATTACAGTGCTGGACCTATATTTGTATAGACCAAAAGCACAGTGGGCCAAAAAGAAGAAAAACACAAACATCCTTCATGATCTGGACATGTAGAGCATTGGCTCATAAACAGCATCCTGACCCAAAAGCTGGGGTATATCGGCCATGTAAAGTGTCATTGTGGCTTGGAGAGAAGGTGATGGGTGAGACAGTTTTCTGGAACAACGAGGCAGAGGCGGACCTCCATGAAGGTGGATATAAGACATTGACGATGCATTGGCTTTGAAAGCACATAGGGCTGAAGAATTGGCTACAGAAGGGGAGACTTTCAGGCGTGACACAGTGAGAGCTACATTCTATAAAGGACCGGCTGATTGGTGATTATGAATAGCACTTGATGGACAGTGTGGTCAGCAACACATCAGCTGCCTTTACTTCCCAGTACATTACCTTGTACCCACTGTAGGCTAGGTCAGCCTGGAAAATGTCTCCCGCTTGAAGGCACAGCATTTTAACTGCTCACCTCGCCGCTATGATGTGCCTAAATATGATGACTGTATAAGTCTTTTTATGCAACCAGAGACACAAGAAGAAAGTTTACACTGATGAAATTCGGATCTGGTGCCCCCGTGGATTTTGCTAAACTCGGTGAGGTAAGTATTTGAAATTCCATTTTCTTTATACATGCAAATTGCTGATTCTTCTTCTTAGAGCCTGTATGGGTTCCGCTGTAAACTGGCGGAAAGTTCTGATTGTTCGTTCACTTCTGGGCTTTGGTCTTGATCCAGAACTCAAGTTTTGCATGCACATTGTTTTACATATGTGACTTATCTGTATGCATTTCTTACCTCTCGGAGGGATGTTGTCCAACTCTGACTACATGCTTATTAGTTGGAAGTGGGTCTATACTTTTTTTTCTCTGCCACATTTCTGCTTCGAAACCCACACTTTATGCTTTTAATACCAACATTAAAACCATTTCTCACAATTCTCCAGGATACATTGATACCTGCTCAAGAATAATTAATTTTACATGGCACCAACCATATCACAATAGTGACGAATCTCTTCTCAACCTTCAATAGGTGTAACAAAATAACAAAACATCATTACTTTTCGTTGGAAATTTGGTATTTGTACACATATCGGTGTGTCAGTGTGGCTTGTGATGCTGCAGGACAGTTTAGACACGCATGTCAAGGTGAATGTTCGGTCTGCCTAGTTTACCACACAGAAAGCGACACTGCTGAATGGGGTTGGCAATGACACATGTCTCGCTAGCAATAAAAACACTGGTTACGTTGAAGCGGATCAGATCATTTCCTTCTATCTGGCTCAGAGCCAAAGTGACAAAACAGGGATCAGCTGGCCTCAGAGATGTTGTACTACCATACTCTGACAAGATGTCTAATATTGCCTGGTATCTGTCCGGCTACACAGACATTGTGACGGGAGGGGGGGGCAGGCTGGTCATCTCTGTTCAGTCTACATCGGCTGAAGGCGTAATGTCGCTCTCATGGAAAATGCAACACGGGATACTACACATAGAGAAGGGCCAGAGGTGTGACTGTCAGTTTCATGAAATAATGAAGCATTTGAGACTTCCAGTCTAAAATAAAGGATTAGGCATGGCAAAATGTTTAGCTTCAAAGTTATTTTTGCTTCCGACAGAGCTTTGCTAATGCAGTTTTGACATATGTACTGTAGTCTTCGGTTTTGCTGCCTGAGCTACTGAGTTTAGTGCTTGGTGCAGCCCTGTGAGCTATGTTTTTCATGTGGAATGCCATTCATTTTTACAGCGGTTGTGTCGTGGTTTTCAATATGGCCGCTAGCCGAATTACATGTGAGCTGGTGAAATACCGTATGTAATAATTATACATATGTATAGCCAACTTATCGTGCCCGACTACTTCCATCAATGACAAACTGCATTTTTGGTGGGGACTGTTAGCTTTGGCGTCTCTAGCAACTGCTATATGCATTTACTGCGTGCACATATTTCTAGATTTTGCAGGGATTAATTGTTTATTCACCAGTTTTTCAAATGCGACAGTGAGGGACATTTAATTTGGTTTTCACTGGTACAGGAACAGAGAAAACACGATTGCAGTGAAGTTGAAACCTCGACTAAGACTAATTTATTTTACATTTGATTTGTTTCACTGAAAACTAGTGTTAACGTTACAGTATACTACTTTGGTGCATTGCATTGCTTTGCCTGGATTCTGTTTTCTTGTACCCATTATGTCGTAAGATTAATGCTTCGATGTAAATTTGTGTATTCAACAGCAACCAGTAAAGATTGAAAGGGAAAACAACTTGAAAGAGTACAAAACTGCTAACGACATTGACCTTCTTCCAAAGTTTGGAGCTGGCAGTGAGTACGGCAGAGACCTCAAGGAGGAATCTCGTCGTAAAAAATACGGCATCATGTTAAAAAAGTACAACCCAAATGACCAGCCCTGGAATTTGAAAATTGGGGCAGGGAAACAATCAAAGCGGTTTGTACATAAATCTTAGTCTACTAATGTTTGTTTGCATCCAGAGAGAACCATCTATTTGTGTAGTGTACTGGCATAAATTCTGTGTTTTGTGCAGAGGGCATATCAGGAAGGGAATGAGAGTGAAGGAAGAAATGATTGCAGAAAAGATGAGAGGTGACTTTAATGATGAATTCCTTTTCCATACATTTTTTGTTGCCGATTGCGTGCGATGGATTTATCTCAAAACATTACTGGTCATAGGAAATATCCTCAGACCATTGTAGTAACCAGTTCACTAGACCCCGCACTATGACTGCTCATTTGTGGTGCATAAGGACAAAGTTAGTAGTATTATTTTTTTTTTTTTTTTAAACAAGTGAGGAGCAGCTGGCTAATTGGTTACAACTCTGGGCTGTCATTTTGAAAACCCAGGTTCGAATCTTCAGTAAAATGATGGACATTTTTTAAAGAGTAAAAATAAAAATGTTCACCTCCACAGTTCATGGCAACAGTCTTAGCCATGTGGCCCTAAATCCTCAGGCTCAAGCCGCTGCTGTCATGTTTCTTTTGTTCTTCTTTTATGCTACCTCTTATGCAATAAAAAATTGCAGAGAGGAGTTAGATGGTTTCTTGTCTTTTGCTAGTTGTGTTAGTTAGTCTTTCCTCTTGTGTCGAGTGCGGCACATAGGGCAGAGGTCGTGACTTTCCATGCACGGCGGTCCGTTGCAATCCGTTGTAGGTCTTGGATGTTTGAGTGGCCCATGAGCGAGCCTTCCCTGATGATAGTTCTACGTAGGGTTTCCCTTGGTCTTCCACGAGATCTTTTCCCCTGTGGTGTCCAAATGAGGGCTTGGTAAGGAAGTCTTGATTTATCCATTCTAAGGGCGTGGCCGACATTAGTTGTGTAGCTTGCGTTAATGTCATATTGCATTTCTGTAGTGTCTTTTACTCTGTCCACCAGTCTCTTTCTTGCTTGGCCTCTTACCTTGTAGCTTGCTGTTCTCATGTTCTATTACGCTCTAGCTGCTTACTGAATTTGTTCTATTCTGACCAGATGATCAAACCATTTTATTCTTTGAATCATTTACCAGTACTGTGTCTACCATTGTTCTTAGTTCTTCATTGGTGACTACTTTGGATCATTAAACTAGTTGCTTTTGTTCAGTGGTTTACAAATGGTAAACGAATAAGCATGGAGACTGTCATTGCCTTTCCTGTCAGTTTTGTGCTTATATTTTTTTATGTCTTGCTTTGATAGCACAAAGCACAGACATTATGGACAGATAAGTGAGATGGTGTTTTATTGTTTTTCTTTTCAGAGTTAATGATCTTGAGACTTATTTTCAGATACAAGGGACTAAGGGAGGGAACAATTGCAGAGAACACTTCCTACTACATTTTCACTAAGGCAGCAGACGGTGCATTTGAGGCATTTCCAGTTGAGGAGTGGTATAACTTTAGTCCAGTCATCAAGTACAAGTACCTAAACTCTGAGGAGGCCGAGGAAGAGTACAGCAGGTAAAGATAATACTTTGATGAAAATTTGCAATGCCTTCAGATTTCTTTTATGTATTCCTGCAGTGTACTTCTTTTGATGGCCCAGAACTTGATGCCTTTTTTCCCACATCATGGAAAAACAATGAGTTCCCTAAGGGCAAAACTTAACAACTCAGAACAGCTGATATAACTGTTTGGTTCATCAGGTAGCTCTCTTCTCAGTCAGTGCACGCCATAGGTCAAATACGGGTTGACATGCAGTCAAGATCATGGAATATCACACAAGTTAAATTATAGTTACCCTGTGGATGTATACTCTCTTCCAACAGTTAGTTCTGCACACTTAGTCCAAGGGATTCTCAGTCAGCCTCTGATCACAGCAGACCTTCTCAGGCAGCCATTTGTAGATGATATAACATGGCCAGAATTCTCTGCACTGTCAGCCGCTGTTACAAACACTCACCGATTTATTTACAAAACAATTACACATCCGCTCTCCAAGCGCCATCCGACAGAACCAAGCATTCTTATCTATTCCTCTGTGATATGTTCTACTCCTCTGTGATATGTTCTACTCCTCTGTGATATGTTATATGAACATAACATGTTGTAGAGATCAGATACGGTTGCATTATGAAAGATGGATGAGTGTTTGGAAGGGCCATATGTACGACAGGCCTGCATACCCAGTTTGTTACCCTTTGAAAAATAAAAAAATAAAAATGTTGTCTTTGACAGAAGATTACAGGTTCCAACCATCATTAGTTTAGTTGTTTAGGAACTCACTCACATTGAATTGCAGGTTGCTTCTAAACATCTTAAGGTTTTTATTTCAACAGTAGCTATTATCTTAAAACATATTCACAAATTCGTAGTTTCTATATTTTTTTAATCAAATGAGAAATTTGCTAAATATGTATTCTACTTTTGGAAATAAAATATAAGTTTTGCTGAATATTTAGATAGATTTAGTCCACTTTCCTGTGTGGGTTCTAGGGCCCTGTTATGAGGAAAACAAGACTAGATCCACTGCCTACCCAAAAGCATGTCATAAAAGGCGACTGACTGGGAGCTTCCTTTAAAGTCAGAGTGCATATGCCTGAGAGGCAAGGAACCAGTAGTCTGCATACAAATGAGTCAGATCTGTAAAACGGATGCATACGCAACACTTAGGTTCTGGAACAGGACTGCTGTCCCGAAGTGGATGAACAACAAGAACTTTTTGCCGGAGTGTACAGCTGGTGAACGCGAAGAAGAAGATTTAGTCCACTCTCTGATGTCAGATTGATAATCCCAAAAACTGGTTCTGAAACAGGCAGAAGCAATAAAACACAAAACAATTACTAGTGTGCATGTGTGGGTTGTCAGTATCATTGCCTGCTTACTGACATTGGGCTTTATGTTCCTGTTTACAATTGAAGGAGGGACAAAACACTCAATCTCTTCAACATTATGTTGAAGAAAAGGATGAAGAAAGAGGAGGAGCCATCAGATGATGAAGATGGGAAGAAGGGGAAAAAAGAAGGGAAGAAGTCAAAGAAAAAAGAGAAAGACCTGGTGAGTCATTTAATTTTTTTAAGTTTAGTATAAATTGGCTGTGAAGTTTTTTTATTGAAACTGAATTTGCAGATTTGATTATCAAAATATATTCTTATTGACTGTTTATTGTGTGTGTTAAATTGGTTGACTTTGTGGACCCCCTAATGATATACGGTGAAGAATGGAGAGTGAAAAGTAACAGCAAAATTCATAATCTGTTTAAACCACCACTAATTAGTGGCATCTTGAGGGCTGGTAGACTGCAGTGGTTGGGGTACATATAGAGAATGGCAGATAACAGAGACACAAACTACGTAACAGGAATTGGATTATGAGGCAGAACAAGAAGCTATTGAGAGATCATATGCAAAAAGACCTATAAACATCTGGAGCTACCAGCTGGTAAAATAAGGCCAGGTACAGATGAATGGAGGTGGTTGATATCTGCAGTAGTGGACCTCAAGGGTTCGGAATTCTAAAGAAGATTTTGAATTAATGTATTATTTTTCCTTATTTACATTTGAAATCAGAATGCAAATGAACATCCCTGTGTGGGCTCCTGGGATTACAAGCATTTTTTAAGTTTAAAGGTCGACAAATTAAGGATGTCTCTTTTATAGTTGGAGTGCATTCTGTAGTCATATGAAGAGATTAGAAGCGTTGCAAAGCATCCTGATGAACGGAAATATAAGCGGCAGAAGAGAGACTGAGATAGGACAATATGATGGCAGATACAAGACAGAAACTTAGAGAAATCTCAGCAGAACTGATCCAGAGCACCACGTGAAAGTAAAAAGTAAACATAATTGATCCAGAACACCAAGTGAAAGTAAAAAGTAAACATAATTGATCCAGAACACCACGTGAAAGTAAAAAAATAAACATAAGATCCAAGGGACCCAAATGAAAAAAAAAAGTAAACATAAAAGATCCAGAACACCAAAATGAAAGTAAAAAGTAAAAAACCCTTTTCCACACCCTTCGGCAAATTGGGATTAGGGGAACCTATATTTTTAAAACCCAATTGGCACTCAGTGGTTGATGTGGTCCACATCATGCTGGCCACCTTTACTTTCCAGGACTTTATTTATTCCCACTTTCGGCTGTGCGACCCGGGAACCAGGGTCATTTTTAAAAGAAGTCAGGCTGCATCAGGACTTGCACCCACTATCTTTGGATCTGCACTTGAGTGCCTTGCCCTACACCAAGGCATGTCTCAGAACAACAATTAGCAGGTCCTCATTGTAGACGTGAACATCTATGCTATTTGCCACATGATGATAATTTTTGTTTGAAAGTTGTGTACTGAAGCCTTTTGGGTTTTTAGGCTTTTTTGGGGGGGGGGGGGGGGGGGGGGGTTGGG